TCGCAAGCGTGGGCAAGGGAGCGGTGGAAGCGGTTGATGTCAACGGACTTTTCAGTCGAACCAAGAGCAAACGGGGACGCACCAGGGCCAAGCGCGGCCGCACCCAAGTCAAAATCAGCACCCCCATCAATGCTATCCGAAACACCAGCCACATTCGCAGAGTCATTTCTCTGGGATAAACACGGGGAAAAAATCTTGATACGGGGTGTCATCATAATCATCCATGAGCTGCTCGTCAGTGAGCACACTCGTATCTCCAAGGTCCATACCCGGAAAAGTACCCACATACACAAACTCGGACGCCGAGGAAGGTACTACGTCGGCAGAGCCGGCGGGCGGGACGCTCTCATTCGCAGGTACTACACTGGTGGGACCAGTGGGCGGAATATGCAACATGGACACCAATGATTTCGCGGAGCCCCCCTTCTGGGAAGGGGAACGCGCGGAGCCAACGGCGGGGGTGGAATCGGGGGCAGTCACGAATGCGGGCAAAGCAGCGGGGTCTACAATAGTTGCAGATGGGTCGTACGGCCACCGCATGGCATACGCTGCAGACGCTTTTTCCTCTCTAGCAAACAGCAGCCCATTTTGTAGGGTTGCACCACGTTCGTCGTAGAGGATTGGTTGCTTCAGAGAACCAGCGTGCATTGAGAACAATTTGAAACTCAGGCTCTCTACAACCGACACGTCAGTGAGCTTCACACACATCGTCGTTTTCTCACCATTCTCATCCTCCTGAAAGAAACAAAGATTAATACTACAGATGGCTTGCACTTCTAGCAGTCGACCATCACCTACAACGACATACTTCCTACTGGCGGGGATCTCTTGCAGGTCATACATGTGTAGGCTGCTGTTGGTGAAACTGTTGCTGGCTCCTGAGTCAGCTACCCATCTCTCGCTACCAGGCGGCCCCTCACTAGATTTCACACTCAGCAAAGACGAAGCAGACGCAGCAGACTCCACTCCAATCGTCACTCCTATCCTACTAAAAAAATCGTCAGGGTGGGACTTGCCTAGGGACACCGATTGTGCCGTGCAGAGGTGGAGGTTGCCCGAAGATAGAGGCGCGCCAGGAGAAGGAGTAGAGGACAAGGAGGAAGCGGTGGTGCTGCTGCTCACGGGGGGGGGGCTGAAGTTGCTGCTCGGATGACGAATCTTCGCCAGCAGGAGGGTAGTACACGTAGTGGATGCCGCCGTCCGATGAACGGCTGTCTTCGTACCCGGAGGGGTAGCTGTAGCTGTCTCCACCGCCGGCGTAGTGGGCGTACCCGGCGTCATGGTAGCCGTCTTCGTAGTAGTAGCCGTCGTCGTAGTCATCGTAGTCTTCGTAGTAGCCACCATCATCGTGAGCGTAGTACACAACGTACGCCTGCTCTCTTCCGTGGCCAGAACGCGCGTGCCCCGAGCCTCTCTCTGCCCGTTCCCTCTCGGCACGCCCGTCGCTGCTGTGGCGTCCAGCGGGCCCACGACCCCCCGGGTGACGCCCCAGACGACCACCAGGCCCACGTCCACGAAGGGGTCTCGGGGGGGGGTGAGGCTTGGCTCCAGCCACCGCCACCATGACCGGTGTGGTGCTGTTGCCCTTCTAGCCTCACCCATCGGCCGCCACCGCGACTTGACCCCGGCGGCGGTCTGCCCCCTCGCTGGCTACCGCCGCCACCGCGGCTGCCGCCGCCCGAGCGGCGTTCCGCGGCGCCCTCTCTCGAACGCGCGCGCCGCAGTTGCTGCTGGAGACGACACTGCTCGTTGGTGTGAAGCTCGGACTGGTGGTANGCCCATGCCGGACGCGGCGAGAGCGAGCTCCACCTCGCGCTTCTCCCGCTTGCTCCTCTCGCGCTCCATCTCCATGTGGGCGTCCCTCACCACAGTCTCAAGGGTACGCAACGTCAGGACATCATGGGCAAGCAGTATTCCTTTTTGCACGGCATACAACGAAGAGGGAAGGCCACGAGCAATGTCTTTGTTGGCATCTGTTTCATCCTTATTTGTGCCTACAGATGCGAGACGCAGGCTGCCTCTGAGCGGGCAATGTAATCCTGTGGACTCTCGGACTCTCTCATCTCCAACTCCTTCCAGTCCTGCTCCAACCTCGACTTTTCTGACTGCTTTTTCTCCTGACATAATTCTGTCACGATCTCCCAGCCCTTTTGGGGACTCTCACACGCCAGAATCAAGCTCTGAATCGGGGGATACAAAACCTTGCTAATCAGGATATCCCACAGTTTGAATGACTTGTCTACCACTTCATTCCCAAAAAGTCTCCGAAGGTCTCCTATATTCACACCCCTTTTTCCGACCTTGACCTCGACCTCCAGTTCCAACGCATTATGCACACCCTCCTCCTGAAAATATGAATTATCTTCCTACGAAAAATATCAAACATAATATACAAATCCTGCTCATTCTTCACGCTACCAAGCCAAGGTTCTATTTCTGAGCCAGGATTGACACGTAACATGCCTGAGCGGGCAAAGCCCTGTTGTTCAGCGATGGCCTCAGCTGTCGCCTTGGCCGCTTGCGCCACGATGTGTGCGACGCTGCTAGGGTCGTCGAAGGTAGCTGTTTTACCCTGGCTGGAGGGTGATGGCTGGTTGCCGGTAGGTGGGACTGGGTTGCTGGCTGATGGTGGTCGGGCGTAGGTGACTTCACCCTCGTTGATCCTGTTGGCTTCAAGTTCGGCTTGTTCTCGTTGCTGGACGATCTCCTCCACTTTTTGCTGTAGCTCTTCCCCGCTAAGGGCGGAGAGGTCGATGCCCTCCATGGTTTGTGTTGTTGTGGGAGTCTACCGATTGCGCGTGACTGCACAACCCCCGGAAGGCTACGCCCGCACGCAGATACCGTGATATCGTCGCACTAGTGTGAAAGGTAAACTACGCGGGGTGCAGCAAGCACGTTCTGGACGTTATTACTTTGGGGCACTGGGTAGTCGGCCGTGTTAGGCCGAGAGAGAGAGGGTGAGAGAGGGTTGGACAGAGAGTGGGAGAAGGAAACTTGATTGGAGAGAGACGGTGGTGGAGGTGGAGAGAGAGGGAAGAAGAAGAAGAAGAAGTAGTAGTGCACAGCACGCACGCAGGCCTCATCGTCGCACCGACCACGCCCAAATGGTCCCCGTGACTGCGCCGGTGGCACCCTTCAACACACGAAATTCCCAACACGTATCCCCCTGGGATCCTCACGACCAGACACTGCTGCGAGTGTATCTAACACATTGCATACATGTGACACAGCAGTCAAGCCTACTTCTAGTTCCCTTCAGTCGCGTTAGATACCACACCCCCTGGACCGTCTCTCAAAGCTCGACTACAACAGTCTGCAGAGCAATAAGGGACGGGGTCGACAATGACGGGGTTGGAACATGCCCCTGGGCCGCCCGTCATGGGCATTTTGGGCATGCCCACAAGTGATGACCCATGGGTCACCGGTGGGCTTGCTCATGGGCATGCCCATGGGCTACCCATATGGGTCACCCATGGGCACGCCCATGGGCGTTGCCCATGGGGCACCAATGGGGCACCCATGAGCCTTTTGTTGCCCATGGGTGCCCCATGAGTGCCCCATAGGGCAACCATGGACCGTTTGGCAAAACTGTAGAAAGTGTGGGAGACCCGACCTCATAAGGTGCCGGGTGCCGGAGATCCACGCGAAATCGTGCCCAGACTGATTGTTCCATCAGCCTACAGGTTGGTGGTGGCAGTTGCATGCTGCACACCACGTGAGAGCTCAGCTCATCGTCGTGCAAAAGAGACCGAAGATTTGTCTCTGCGGGCACTACAATTGAATACGTAAAAGTCTACCAACGGTATTCAATTTAGCACAGCCGACAACGATCTAGTCTACAGAAAGCAGCGGTGTGCACGGCCCCAAGTGCTTCGTTGTATTTGGGCCGCACACACTCAGAGTTTTGAGACAACTTGAACATTACATCTGTGTCGCGCAAGTCTCGTCCGGATCAGGCAAAGACCGGGGTGTCTTTCGTGATTCCATCCGGTGCGTTGCTGCCACCGTTTGCTCCGTTCATTGCTATTGTGGATCACCTAGCTAAATAGGCCTCAAATTACCAAACACCAGCAGCACGCTCTGCAGGCACACTATGTAGTAGGAGGTCCAACTAGTATGATATTGGAAAGCACCCCTCGCCGCACACCAACTATAATGTATAACGTCGCCAAAAACCACGGAAGATTTCTTGCAGGGGTATACATTCGGGAAGTGGTGCAAGGAGCGTGTTCGGGCCAACATCAGCGGCTGCTTCCAACAAAACCAATATGGTCGGGTTCGGGCGGTCATCCTCACATTAATCAAAGCGCGCCTTGCTGTGTACGGTGGCACATGATACTGGTTGTAATACTAGGGTCAAGCAGTACGTATTCCGGAATATGTATACCCCGCACCAAACAAACTTGGCACATGCTCCGTCAACAAACACCACTTGTGATGTTACGAAAAACAAAACGGTTGGCATGCAACGCTCATTATCCACACTATAGAAGCCAAACAGAGAAGAAGGTCGGCCTCGATTGAATGCACTCTGAAAGAACCCTTAACGCCGCTTCACGGGGATGCCCAAATCATCCACAGATAGTTCAAAAATGGCACCAACTTCTCCCCTGTGGCACGATGCCTCCCACAACGGTGGCTGATGTACCAATATACGAACAACCTACCGAAGGGAAAAAGAGGGCCCAGGAGTTGCATCGGGAACACCGAACGCTTGATTAAGTGTTCGCGAGTTTTGCCCACGCACCCGCTGGTAGTGTCCATGTCTACCTTAACGTGAAACGATGTCCCGTCGACTTTGGATGCCCAAATTCACAAAGTTAACGTCTGCGTGGTGCAGCTGTGTTTCCGTTACACTTTCGAGCGCAAATCGCCCTCTGTACTCGTATGACAAGTATTTCGCAAGCACCCCGAACCTCTTCCTCTCTTTCGCGACTTGTCGACCTCGCCTCACTCCTTCTTGAGGAGAGTCAGCATCTGCGCCACCTATGCACAGCCCCTACAGTTGCAACGTCCCGGGCAAAACATGTACCGAGCAAATTCGAGAAAGAGCTACAACATCGTCGTTATTCTTCTACCAAATACAACAGAACGACCCGCACTTTGTCGTCATATTCCGCTTGAGAGCAAACGCTTCACCTCTTCACGATTCGTTCTCACGGGTTAACGACGTGCTTCCAAGAGGCAGCTTTTGACTATCTCGCTTACCCTCAACACAACCAGAGAAGTAGTATTCCCCTACGCAGTTCCTCGGCTGGGCGCTCCAGCGAAGCGTGCTCCATCACCATCCTGCCCTCGCTCCTCTGCCCCTGAAACAAGCTTGCTAGCTATGGTCCGAACTTCGATGTCGCCTGCTGCTGCCATCCTATGCCGCGTGACCCTCCGAAGTGGGCTACGTGTTATACACTGAGCATTCCTCAACACGTGGCCCTTGGGCCCCGTGGACTCGCGTCCATCAAACTCTTGCTGCAGGAGCAGCGAGGCAGCGAATGCCTAGACCATTTTCTTTGTAAAACCCCACAAATCCGAACCAAGAAATCCGAACCAGCACATCTCCAGCGCGGCACAAGAACCCGAAGATATACGTAGATCTGGGAGATGTTCCCAATTCTTCCGTGCACAATAAACTACAGTTTATTCGGTCTTCGACAAGAAACATTCATTTTGACTATCTCGCTTACTCTCAACACAATCATACGCATCACAACAACAATCTCTTGACAAGTGGAAAGATGCGACACTTCAGAAAAACTCGAAGCGACAATCATCCTGTGGAACAGGGACTTTCACCTAAAATGCGGTAAAGGGAAGATCAACAGAAGTGGACAGACGACACCAAACAGTGGGGAAACTGGAACAAACACAACCAATCTACCTAAACACCCAAGGCGTAAATTATGAATAACGGCAACCGAATTTACACGGAAATACCAATACTTCAATGACCTCCAAATTATTCCTAGACGGAGACGCCGAAATTCGGCGGGAATGCCCTCTTGTCAAGTGAACCATGTGGCAACAATGACACGTTTTCCCTCTGTTTGTGAGTCCCAGCCGAAAACGGCAAACCTCAACGATCGACGAGCAAACCAATCGGACACGCGCGCGGGCAGGCAAGCCGACATCTACCCGGGAAGGATTAGTTATTAACCGCTCTTGAACAAGCCGAAAGAATGTGACTCCGGAAACATCGCACCCCTCTCATTCTCCTTGTGCAGGCACCACCTATTGTACGTAGATTCCTCTCCGCTACCGCGTGCCCCCTCCACAGTAGTCCGACCCCTCTAGCCGGCACCGTTTGCCGCTCAGCGTATCCCCGCCTTTGTCCACGCCACCGTCTCGCGGGTCGGCTGCTGCCTTCATCGACCGTTCCTCCTCACCAGAGGCCACCGTTTCCGAAACGGCAGCAGTTTCACGCGAACCAGCTTTGGGCTGTTTCGCGTCCGGCGAGGAGTTGCCGGCGGCGTTGATTTTTGCGTCAGATCTTGCAACCGCCGCTTGGCATGACTCGGCAGCGGCCGGGCCGCCAGAACGTTTCTGTCTTTTTCCCACAGCCGCGGAGGTTGTGGCGAGCGACCCCTGCTGCACCGGTGCTAGGAACGCTTCCACGAGGAAGGGCTCTCTCTTGGCGCCAGCTTTGAACTCCTCGAAATCGATCGTACCGTTTCCATCCATATCCAATCTCTTGAACAGCTCACTCAGCTTGCCTGTACACGAAGCGAGAAGGAACATGTAAAGCTACGAAAAGTCAAGAACAAGCGAAAGGGCAGGTACACATATAACCACGCGGGTGTGTGCCTTGGAAGAAAATTAGAGCCAATCTTCTCCAGAAACCCAGCAAAGCAGCTACACCCTTGGGTCGAAAAGCCGAAAACAAACACAGCGGTGGCCTTGGTGCCCAAATACGTGCGATCGCTCTTCAACAGAGACCAGGGCGTCCATCGCCGAGATTAGGCGATTTCCAAAGGTCTCCTCCGAGCAGAGCTTTATCACACTATGCTGTTCAGTACACAATTGCACGCGGTCGCGCCAGACTTCAAGGCACTCGTTTACGAGGAGAGGCCATCAGCTTATCCTTGCTGGCGACGTCCTTTGTGACTACGTAGTACTGGTAGAGGTTTTCGACAATCTATTGTTGTCAACTTACGGTCGTGATCCTCGCCCCCCCCGTCGACCCCACCACCATCACCACCGGACATGGCTTGCATGTCTTGAGGCCGCATGACGCACGAAAGCACAGACTTGAGCTCCTGCAGGTTAATGGAACCCCCTCCATCGAGGTCGTAGATGTCGAAACAGAAGCGTAACGCCTTGTCGCCGGTGTTCTTGAACGATGCCATCCCAGCGAGGAATTCCCCGTAGTCCACCTTGCATAACGCACAGGAGAGCGTCAAGGTCGAGGCGACAGCACAGTCAACGACGGGACAAAGACAGACAGCACGTGCTTCAACGAGAGGAGCCTCAAGTCCACTATGGCAACAGACACATCTTGCGTGACCTTAACGAGATGTCGAATCTTCTCAAGAGAGCAAGCACGCCCTTTTTCTTCGTGGTACACGCGCCCCTCTCGTTCCTGGTAGGACAACAAATATCCTAGAATATCTCGAGAGCCGCTCTCGTTCCAGTTGTTGAATTCGTGCAGACCGCGATGGTTCTTCGTGATCAGGTGTCCACATCGCGAAAGGTTAGTATTCGTCTTCTGATGAACGCATGAAATGCCCCCCAGCAGTCCTCACACCGACTGCATACGCTTTGGGAAGTTGAAAGCCTCTATTCTACTGGCAGTGGAAAAAATAAGCCGAGCCTTAACGGAAAAAAGATGAGATATGTATGTTCTCCGCTGCTGTCGACAGCGTAACATAAACCCAGGATGTTGCGTCCATCGCCAACGCTGTGTCAGATTGCACGGACAGGACGGAAGGAACGAAGGATCACATCCGTGGTCCAGAGACCAGGGTCACTTCGGCACAACCACAACTCCTGCACAAACAGCCGATTGAGTCACGCTCCACTAATCAGCAGCAGCATCAACAGCTAGCAGCAACAGCAGCACCAGCAGCACCAGCAGCAGGAGGGGTGAACACGCTACCCTTGTACTCACGGTGCCGTTGCCGTCCGTGTCGAAGAGGTCGAACATCCGGTCGGACGGCACCGGGCCGAAGCCGACGTCCGAGAAAACAGAGGCCAGCTGCGCCCTGCTCAGAACCCCCCCTTCCGCGGAAGAGAGAAACGCCTTCTTGAGGGTTTCCAGCTCGAGAACGGAAACTGCCCAATAGGACAGAGGTGTGGGTGTATGGGTTACGTGGCGGGAGTCAACGAAGACTTAACTTCTATCTGCCAACTGGCACATCAACTGGCGGCGCATGCTATCGTTGTCTGCTACTCCTGCAAGTGATGGTCCACTTCTCGCCCATGATCGGAGTGCTCTTGGCGTGAAATACCACGTGACTTTTATGCTTCAACTGAAACGACTCTGGTAGTCATGTCGAAAACGTTTCCCTGGAACGTTTTTCTACCGCGGAACAACACATCGACTGAGGGGCAATTGAAAGCGTTCCTCTACACCGGAGATGCCGTGCCGGCGTTGCTCTTGTTCTAAGTCGAACCGCGTCCGACGCCATGCTACGGTACTCTTCTACTCTTGCCTGTTCACGTGATCTCTATCTTCGATGGCTATCGAGCTAAGGCGGAAGATGACAAGCAACAGTAGACCTATCACAACAGCGCCTCATCGCAATTCCAGCAGGAACAAGCCTCCCTGCTCGCCCTCGAGGGCAATCCAACGTCACCCCCCCGGCTGCTCACATCCGTTCTTGTCCTCTCGCTCGTCCTCGCTCGCACTGCGGGCGCGCTTCTTCAGGCCGAGCCTGGCCCCCAGCATTACCACCGCCGCCACCGCGCGCCACGTCCTCTTGGCGTTGAAGGCCTTGAGGCGGTGGATGGTGTCTGGCAGGTGGTCGTACTCTTGACCGCACGCCGAGGTGAGCCACTGTCGTGGAAGCAGCGGGGTGGCGAGGTCGGTTTCGAGGATGTTGGCACGGACAGGAAACGAAGCCAGCAGCAGCGTGTCGACCACGTCGGGAACACGTCGAAAGATAGGTCAGCCGACCGACCTTTGTACAATGCCCATGGAACGTCTTAGTCGGCACGGGTGGAAACGTTCCAACTGGCGTTGCTCTCGCACTCTCGCGAATTCATTATTTGATGGAATCTGATACCTTTGTTAATCTTACTCGTGGCCGTACTCCTGCTTGATACCTGGTACAGTAGTCCATTCATGGAAGTAGGGCCTTTCGGGAACCTTCCTGAATATCGGCATGGAACATTGATGCCCATCCCGTACAAGACCACCCCGGCTTGCTTGGTCGCCCTTGAATGTTGTCTGAAATTCGCCAATATGGCATGTAGCATCCATCTTACACGAAACTGGCACAACCACCGCAATATTGTTGTCTTCATGACGGCGGGAACGGGTTTCCCACCCCAAGGCACGAGACGAAGTCCATGCTTCGGCGACCGTCATCGACCCAATCCCGTGGAGTCTTCCGCGAGTTGCGTATATGTACCGAACGTGACATACCGTAAGACATCACACCCCTAGCACCGATTTTCAAAGGTGGAATACCCCACAGCAGAAAGAGTGGTAGGGCCGAAATGGTGGCCTTGCAGCGGTCTCATTGAGAGCTTTCCGAACAACGTACCGTTTGGTAATACTTCAAGTACATCCTGTTCGTCTTGGAGTAATCGAACTTTGAAAATAGGTCCAAGTCCAAGGCGTGTCATGCACCTACGGTAAGCACTCCTGCCTTCGGCACAGCCATTGACCAACGAAGCTTCGGGACCAGAATGCTGACGTAATGGTCAGCAGCGTCAAGCCAGCTTCACCACTGTCGCCTCCACACTTGACGGGTCAATTTGTTAGGAGGTGGGTGAAACCGAAAATTCCAAGCGCTGCCGCGACTGACTCACCGGGTGATTGACAACTTCCGCCATGGTTGCCCGCTTTTCCACGTCTACCGTCAGCATCCTGTACACCAGATCCTTCGCCTGGTTCAACACCGTCCGTAGAGGCCCGAGGTCGCCGGATAGAGGAAAAGAAAACATCATCCGCACGGGCAACAGATCGGCAGGCAGCGTACGGGGAGGAAGACAAGGCCACATGAATGACCAAACGTAAACTATTACGCTACAGACAGCAGTGGTGGGTTTGCTCGTTCGTGCCCCTTTCCGCCTAGTTTCTACGATACTACAGTATCCCATGCGTTTTCTCCACCCCTGTACCCTAAAATCGGGCGTGCCCTTGGCCAAAAGAGACAGCGAGCACCCAATGCACATCTGTGCAAGACGCGTGCGTTCTTTTTCTCACCTCTGCGCTGATGAGGTCCCACGCGTCAGGGTGAAAATAGTATTTTCCCTGCCAACGAGCGGAAGGTGCGGGTGTGTGGGGGGAGGCAAGGCAGCGAGAACGAGAACGAGAAGGATGAATTCGATTGATTCGATTCGATCGTTGCATGAATTGGATGCATTGGATGCCACAAATCAATACCAGCACCAGCGTACGTACACTTTTGTTGTCGGAAGAGACCTAGACTAGCTGCTCGCAAACGCGCTAGTAGCACTTATGCATTGCAAGTGTTGCAGCGCCCTCCCTACGTGCCTGCGATGTCCGGTTCAGAAACGACCGCGATCGCGAGCTTACCGCGGGGGATCGAGCCATCATACTGGAAGCTGAAACAACCGCCACACGGAGGCAGGTCATGATCACCCACTCTCAATTCTCCGGAGATCGCCTAGGGTAGTTTTCGCAGCTTCACCGATAGGGTCATGGCATGCCTTACACAGGGTACCAAGCATCCACAGCAGTCGCTGCCACAATCGTGCTGTATTGGTGGCGACCATTAACTTTCGTAACTCCCCAAAGTCGCAACGGAAATTCCTAACCACCGACTTTCTCCTTCCTTGCGCACTTCGGCAACGTCATGAGATTTTCTTAATTCCCCCCGTCCGGCGGAATTAAGCAACAATGGTTTCGCTTGATGCAAAACCCTGGCCTACCAGTACTTCTGCACTCGACGAAACGAACAAACTTGAGCGGCAAGGGCAACGTGTCTCGGGACAGCTGATGCTGCACAAGCTCTCGCATCGTCAACACCACCATCGCCACATCGTGAAGCCTTCGCTCTCTCTCTCACCTGCTTGATGACCTCGAACAACGTCTCGTCCCCGGAGGGATAGAACGGGGGGTATCCCGCCTGTCGCAGAGCGATCGATCCGATCCGATCCGATCCCATCCAATCACCGGATAAGCCAAAAGCACCCCCAGAGCCCAGAAACGCCAGGAGAATCACGGGAGGAACCAGGCAGCCAGCCCATCAACGGAGCGCAGGCGTGGAGATAGCGGGTTGGATGAGGAGCGTGGCAACGGGTCTGGGCTTTCAGAGGCTGGACCAACTACACCGGCTACAGCTGAATATCCGGCAACTAGTTTCAAGCAAGGGCAGGGATGGCTGCGGTAGGCGAACAACCCCCTCAAGGCAGCGTTCAAAGACATGCTTACATACCAGACAACTTCATGACACAGGAAGTGTACCCATCTGAAACGGTTTCGAATGCGAGACGTAAATGACAAGGGATGAAAAAAAAAGCACGAGTCCACCACAGAGTCGTCCGGTGCACATGCCAAGCTACCGCTCGCGGACCCAGCGTGCGGCCCTCTTGTACGCCCCCTTGTGAGGCACAGTTAGACCCTGGGGTTACCCCCCTGCGGAGCAACAAAAAACGGCATGCTGCGAATAGCTTTTGTTTTTTTTTTGTTTGAAGGGGGCACACAGACAGCAGTCCTACTTACTTGAGCGAAGACAAGGAACCGGCAATCACAAATGCGCGAAGACGGTGAGGAGATGGCTCTTCTCAATCTACAATCACCTGTAATTATGCTATAGCTAGAGAAGTAGCGAAGCCGATTTCCGTTTGCTGGTTGAAAAATCCCGAAACGACGGAAATTTCGGCTGTTGACGCAGCTGGCGCGACTACCGAGACGAGGGTCAAAAATCGCCTTCGCTACTTCTCTAGCTCTGGTTTCTGCGCACACAGCTAAAAAAAACGATCCCCGATTGACCTAGCAGCCGACGAGTGGCATTGATTACCAGATCACCTCCTATGGCTAAGGGCGGTGGTAAAAACAAGGGTCGCGTCAAGTCCAAAAAAAAACTTCAAAAACTTCACTTCTCTTCTCGAGAGAGAAGGATGCACGTTTGCGGACGCAGCGACGGCTGGGCGCGCACGCAAGGCTGCCGAGAAGGCCGACTACCCTACCCTGAAGCGTACGGCCGCTGCTACCCTCGAGAAACTCAAAAAAGCTCAATTGGCGAAGCGTAGAGAGGCTCGAGTCCGCAAATCGGCGGAGCAGGCCGCAGAGGAGGAGCGACAACTGTTGGCGCGAGAGCGAGTCCTGCGGGCCGATCTGAAGAAGGAGCTTGGGGAGGAGCAGTGACGTAAAATCGAGGCGGAGCANAAAAAAATGCTTCAAGATCAACAGCGCGAGATGGTTGAGATTTTTTGTCCACAAGCGGCAAGCGTGATGGCGGTGCAGCAACAGCAGCACAACCGGAATCCGCTGCTTTCCGCGAAAGACCAGCTCATCCGCACCCGGATGGAGGTAGAGCAAGCGAGGAGGGAGCTGGAGGCGGCGTCGGCGTGGGGAAAGGTTGCCGAGACGAGAAATGCTAATTTGAGGGAAAATGTGCGTGCGTGCGTGAGTGTGTGTGTGTGCGTGTGTCTTTGCCCTCGTGTGTTTTTGGCGTTGCTGTTCCCTTCTAGTGCGACTACTTCGTATGCCTCCGAGTCCTACCGGTTGATAGAACCAACAGCAGGACGATACCAAGAGAGGCAGGCGAAGCTGCATGCAGCTGCTAACATCGACAGACTTGGTGTTGAGAGCGAGAAAATACAGCACGAGCAGCAGCAGCGCGCAATTTTTTGTTTTCCCGCTCTCACAACCGCCCTGCTGTTTGCCCATTGCCCTTTTTCTTTTTTTCGGCAACAGAACGGGCGGGTCCGCCGTCGAAGCGGGCGGGTCCGCCGTCGAATCGGTGGGGTCCGCCAGCTATTACCGGTCGGGCTGTGGGGTACTGGCTTTTTGTGTGTGCCAGCAGCCTCAGTGAGCGCAGTGACGGGTGTCCACCTCGCGCATTGCTGCGTGAACGCGCTCGATCATATTTGTCCAGTCTGTTCGTGTGTGTTCGTGTGTCTTTTATTTTGATTCAAATTCCAAACGTTTTTTTTGGTCCAAGAAGGAAAAGCGCAGACTATTTGCCACGAAAAGTTCACCCGGTTTGGGACACATTTTTGGCCTCAAATAGGGGTAACCCCAGGGTCTAACAGTATCCTCGTTTGTATGTGTCAGCCTACTGAGTTGATCTTGTTCACTTGAATGCACCCATAACGTACTTCGAAATACGTGTACATCTTTTTCTGTACCAGGCCCGCACATTCGTGCAATAAAAAGCGTAACACGACGGATGCATCTGGGTGTGGGCAGAACAACATTCGCCACCGATCGAGGCAGCAACTTTCACAAGCTACAAGGCAGCCGGACGTGCGTACCCTCCGAAGGTATTGGCGTACAGTATTGGCTGCTGCGAAGAATCTTGATGGCCGCCGAAACAATCCATCCCTCTCGGTGATACTGTAGATCTATCCCTCTCGGTAATACTGTAGCTTCAGTATTATTAATACTCAAGCTACAGTATCACCGAGAGGGATGGATTCTTCGAGTTTCGGCGGCCATCAAGATTCTTCGCAGCAGCCAATACTGTGCGCCGATACCTTCGGAGGGTACGCACGTCCGGCTGTGCTGCCTTAAAAGTCACCGAGATCAATAGCATCAACACCCACGCCATCAGCACCCACTCACGAGGAGGATATACAGGAGCACGCCGCACGCCCAAACGTCGCACGGTGGACCGTAGAGACGGGAGGACAGCACCTCGGGAGCGACGTATCTGAGACAACAACCAACCAACCACAGCAACAAAGCGAGGCGAGCGCGGGCACGAGGTAATTGCACTTCAGAAGACGCACGGAGACAGGCAGCGTTTGGGATCCAGAGCACCGACGGCTACCAAGCGACTGCGTGAAACATCACCGAAAGATGCACATTGAAAAATCTCGAATGAAAACCACCAAAGCTGACATTGGGTCAAGGGGCCAGCTGGCGACACAGGAACACACCCTGTCCTCAAAACACTAAACGTGGAATGGTGAATGGGCCAGCTGCCTACACGTGAACATAACTTGTCGGTCACCGGCAGGGTGAGGGTCACCACTTCCGAGTTGAAGCGGAGGCACGGCAGGCCGATGGTAGGTACACTTTACCAACACGTGGGGCGGTAGAGGGGTGGTCGTCGACGACGCAAAGACGACGACTGATGTCGAACTTCCCCGGACCAAAAAAAAAGTGACAACACCCTTGACGCCGGTCCACTGGGCGAGCGACCGGGGTCATCATATTGGCCAAAAAATGCTGTAAACCACCAACTGGGTGCCATAAAGAGCCGGCAGCCCGACTAACCCCGGGGTGCCGACGAGGTTGTCGTCGTGCACGGTAACCGACGCCCCAGGGTGTAGCAGCGCCAGCCCAAAATCCGTGAGCTTGATGTTGGTGTCATCGTCCCTCGAGGTGCACATTATGTTCTCGGGCTTCACATCCCTGGTCGCCGCAGCAAGTAAAACAGAGAAAGCAAGGAAGTGCGTCAGGCCGAGAATTGTGGCATGGTATTCGGAGGGGGGCTACACGTGTAGACCACGCGCCCATGCACGGGATTGGGGAGCTTTCGTTGCGAAACAACCACAAAACACAAAACACAAAACACAACCAGCAACAGAACCAGAACCAAACTTAAAAGTAGTTAGCACCTGTGCACTATTCCCTTCTCGTGGCATTGGGCCAGGGCAGCAGCCAGCGTGCAGATGAGGTGCGAGGCATGTCCTTCCGTGTAACGCCCGCGCGCCACGATTCGATCGAACAGCTCTCCGCCTGGTGTTGTTGTTGCCGTGTTCTCGTGCCGAAAGGGCGTCACGATCAGAAGGTTGTTTCTCACGTTGCACAAGGGAATAGTGTGGGGAAATGGGGTACTTCCAAGATTTCCAGTCTAGCGTGGAAACTTAAACGCTACCGCTGTAAGCAGAAATCTAGAAGCAAACGAGCCGCCTTGACTACCACCCGCTACCCGCGCAGACGGGCTTCAATGCATGTGAGCGCTTCGAAGTTCGGGCGCAACGGTTAGATTGTGGACCTACCCTGGTCGAAGACAATGAAATAATCTGGTTGTTTCGGTTCACCACCACCGAACGGGGTGTCACGCCCCGTGCTTGTGCAAAGCCCAAACAAGTATTACGTCCGTGCTACGTGCTTGTCTACGGGGCACAACAAAGAGAAACACAGAAGAGAAATATATACAGAAATGAGATATAGATCAATTAGAGAAAGGACGCGTACAACGCCGTGATATTCGTTGTGAAGTGCGATGGTGCAGGCAGTTATGGCGGTGCTACTCTCTGTATTTCACTGTATTAGTAATGAAGCCTCCCTCACCGTTCAGCTCCTCGAGAACGATCGACACCTTGGAGGGGTCGCTGAACACCCCGATCATCACGATCAAGGACGGGTTGTTGATCTGCTCTCGTATTCGCTGATAACACGCAGAAGGGGGCGGGGGTTCAAGATGACCACGGTTGCGCCGAAACACAGCAGCGCACAGTTTGGTGCTGTTGGTAGAGTGTATCGCCAGGACTTTTGCATTGATACCTGATGCGGGAGGTACGCGCACTGTCACTGTACCGCGTATTCCGGCCATCGACAAATCAAGCACACACTATACAAGATCCAACATTGCAACAAAATTGTCAAAGAGAACCGTAGGCATACACGATTTATTGAAGTATAATAGCTGCACACGAGCTGAGGGCGCGCAGCAAGCAACGCGAAGGCAACGACATTTCGGGCACCTGTATGTAAGTGCAGTTTGGCTTGTACAGAGGTTGACGGTGTACACAGAACGGTTGGCTGGCGCAACACAAGGTGACGGATAGAAGTCAGAAAATTCTAAGCAAACATTCCATCCACATTCATAGTCACACGTTGCAGAGCAGCGCATCATGCAGCGACGCAACGGTACATTCGCATGAAATAAAAAAGCTACGAAGCACAGGTATACAACGCACAATCAGCGCAACTGCCATTTGCTCGTGCTCGTACCTGCATCGCCTCGACTTCCACTCGTATCGCCTCCTGAGCTCGCTTGTTGCCTTCGAACGTTGCTGCAGCGATGATTTTTATTGCAACCTGCATGCAGGAAAAAAAAAAAAAGAGCAGCATGTGAGGAACACGGTTCTCGTTTCAAATTCCGAAAAAATTCAGCTCAAGCGGAGCCGAACGTCCATGAGCAGTACCAACACACAGCAGTTGTCGACACGACAACGAGCAAAAAGTATGCATGCATGCAGAGATGTTGCCGTTTGTCGCTCATCACTGCCAACAGAATCAAAAACTTTCTGGTGTCTCACATTTTCGCCCGTTTCTCGATGCCTGCCGTGCTTCACCACCGAGAAGGCTCCTTTCCCCAGCTCATGGCCTACCTCGTAAACGTCTTCCACCCTGCAACAGGGAAACAAAAAAGAAGAGAGACACATGATAGTCTCGTCTCTGTAAGGGCAGTCCCGTTTGACAGGAATTTTCTCTCTCGGTGCAGGTGCACGACGGCGATGCCACCCGCTTACTCCGGTAACCACACGAGGCTGTCTCACGAAGCATGGTGGATTCAAGAACACTTCCAGGATAGAAAGCTGGGGACTCCCGCGCGTTAGAAAGCGAATGCGTTGCTGAACGCGCAAGTTCGACTGCTTTGACGCGAAAATGAAAAGGTCTGTGTGTAGAGAGAAGCGCTGTTTTTTCGCTGTGGATATAGACATAAATAGTAGAAGTTCCTCTTTAGTGCCTGTGCCCGGTACAGTGCCGGTGTTTTCGGCGGGCACATTGAATTTCCAACTCGGTCTCAACTTTGAATAGTGTCGGTCCGGTAAAGTGCCGGTGAATTGTCTGGGTAGATATGATGATACCGGCACCCAACTGGGACCTCTACTGTTTCAGTGTCAAGCGCTGCTGAGCGCATGCACCGGAATGGATGTACAGCAAGCATCACGACACGATACTGCTGTAAACGCTCAAGGCCTACCACTGCTGTCTGTTGAAAGCCCGGGAGAAAAGCTCCCAAGAGTGGACCAATCCCGGTCTTTGTGTCACTCACCTCCCGTCAAGGGTCGCCATTTGGTCCAAACCACGCAGCATGTTGACTGGCGCTCCTACGCTCCGGCTTTGACGTAGATACGGATAGCGACAGCCGCTGGAGGGGGTTTCAGCCAATCTTGCTCCTTTGTGTTCACCGCCAGTGAGTGTCTTGACTTCCTATGGGTGCAGTGGGGATGCAGTGTAGAGCCTTTGGCGAGAACGGATATGTACAAGCCTACAACAATATCGATTCCCGAAAATGCGTGCTGCATCTAGATCCTCTTTTCGAAATGGGCTTCGAAAAAATATATATTTTCTCGCAGATACACAAACTCGGACTGGGGTTCCGAATTTTCCCATTCAAGGAAGCATATTTTGAGATACGAAAGTTTCCTGGAAAACACAGATGTTGAGATACGAAAATTTCCTGGAAATTTCGTGCAGGCAAATATTTTTAGATTTAAGCGGCTTCACGTGATTGGCTGAGAGGCAACAGTTCACTTAACGAACTTTCCCTGTCCCCAGGTACCTTTTTTTTCACGGTGCGCTGCGTGACAGCTACACCCTGCTGACACCGCTCTCACTGCTGCTGCTGTTGAGTGTGCGTGCATGCAATGCGTGTGCGTGTCTGCGTCGCCCCCTCAACCCAGCACACGAAATCACACCACCAGAACGGCGACAGGAAGTATTGTACTGGCCGGCAGCCTCTGAACGAATTGCTGTGTCGCATTTCAAGCGTTCGGGACAGGAGGAGTTGTTTTTTGGGACGGGGGGGCACATCAAGTCAAACTCTCTCGCCATGCTAGCAGAGAACCAGAGAATATTCTTGCGCGGGGAAGAAAGCGCCCTCCTACACCAGGAGGCCACTGCGAGTGTTCTTCCTCCTGTCTGTGTGCTCCTCTTTGCTGGCGGTACTGCCACCACCTCTACGTCGTCGGTGGTCGTTGTCTCCGTGGTTTCTTGCGCTCTCCTCTTCCCCTTCCTCAACCTGTGTGTGTGTGACGGGCGCGTGTTGCTGACGACCTACTGCTGTAGAGCCGCGCAAACAAACCCAACTTGGCTTTCTGACCGTGCAGTCTCCCTGGTGGTGGCGCGCCAACTCCAGGGCCTGTTCGCTGGGGGCTGGCCTACGCGGACTGCTGTGTGTGCGTGTGTGTTGTGCCTGTCTGTGTTATTTCAAAGGATGTTGCTAAATCGGAAATCGTGAACAATTTTCCACAAACGAGCCGGCCACCTTAATCTGGAGATTTTTTTCCTTATCGTGGGTTTTGGCGAGACTGTCAGGAGCGATCCTCAGAACGGTGGCTGAACTCAACATCTTTTTCCTTAATATGGAGAATTTTTGAGTCCGAAAGAGTATAATAGCAAGTAGAACAGGCATGGCAATGGAGCTGCATTTTTCCATCCATCCTAAGGCGGTTTCTTATAACGTTCGGAATGCAGTTCAAAAATGTTCATTTCCAAATTCGAACCAAAAACTGATTCTCATAAAATCATAAATGACACTTTTCCACCTGAACATTTTCGATTTCACGTGTCCCACCGGTCATGCGTTTAGAAATGATGACAATTTTCGATCGGATGGCGCGTTTGGTTTTTGCGTTTGGAAATGCACACCACACGAACACAACCATCGATTGCGCAGTAAGTGCTGGTCGTGGTGAGCTCATCAAGGGCTCCGAGCAACCCTTGAAGCACTGTGCTGCCATCCCAGCCGTTTATATGTGGTTGCCGTGTGGCCAGGTGCGCTCAAAGCACAATGTTGGCCAGCTGACACACACACCGCTTGCTCAGACCCTCAAAGAGACGCGGCATCATCCCAATACACACACACATCGATGGACGATATGTTCATTTTCTCGCTCGCTAGATCACCCCTGCTGCTGAAACTTGAGAGAATGTGAGCTCCATCAACTGCTCTCTGTCGGAGGGGCTGTGTCATTGCTGTTGGTTCGGTCAATGGAGAGGTATAGCTACAGCAGTGAGCGGCATCATGACGATGTCATTTTTCGAAAAAAACAGCAAGCAGTCAGTCGATCCTCGCCAACTTCGGTGCTCAGCCTCCCAGCGCGTCATGGTCTCTGAAAACCACATCACAACAAGCATCATACACACAGCTACGGGCCGATGGCCTTGTGGTATCTGCTGGTTCGGTTGGTGAAGAGGGGTCGCCACGAGACCAAATCTGCGATGGAGCAAAAATATGTCGAAAGCTGTTAGTTCGAGCGGGGGATCATTTTCGCACAGCAGTTGCCCCTCTCGCCAACTTCAATTCTCAACCACCCAGCGCCTCGCGGTCTGTAGCAACCACCCCACATGAGGCACCATACGCACAGCCACCGTCGGATGACTTAACTATACTTTTGCTGTTGTACCGCTCAGTGCACAGAGATCCAAAGACCAAGCCGGCCGGATAATGAGGTGGTACGGGGGTAGCAAATGGAAAAGTTCAAACGGCCGCAATCCCAACCAGCAGTGCAATAAAAAAGCCGACTATAAGGAGCGCCTTGACTGACACGTCGTTCTTATTTTCCGAATGAGAAATTACACATTTTTGAACAGGATTTCCGCACCATGTAAGAAACCGCCTAATGCTGCATCACCCACCGTGATGTTAATAATGTGTGCGTTCGCGTTTGTGTGTGCACAGAGAAGTACTTCGATTTTGGAGCATTTGCTCTCAAAGAGAGCCAGTTCTTCGACGAAAAAAAAAATTGTAGGACTTCTTATTTCGGGTATGTACGATACACGGCGGTACGAGTTATTTGATACTAGGGGATTGAAGGGCCCCTCCGCCCCCAGTGGGCGCCGAGGCCCGAAGCGCAAACTGAAGGTGGTTAAATTGAACAGCAGTTCGATGCGTTAAACAGTGTGGTTTAAGAACGAGGTATTTATTTGAGCAGGGACCAGGTAGGCTACATGCGTTGAAAAGGCCGTCAAGGGCGGGCAGGGGCGAGCGTCGGTGACGGATATGGCGTAATGCGGTCGCCCCCAGCATCGTCTTGTGTAAACATCTTCAACGTGTTGTGTGTACGTCAATACACCGCGCATTTCGCCGATCGACCTACGTAACTTGCTAAAGAGTTTATTATATAAAATTGAAACATCCATCTGTTTTATCGACGTTGCACTATCGAACAAATTGCAGGACTTACCACCTTCAGAAAGGGAAAGCCGTAACATCTCAGGGTGGGCGGATGTGATCGTATTAGTTATTGGTTAAACGTCCATCAACCAATGTTTCGTTGTGGAACCATATTTTTTCGTGATGAAACTTATTTTTTCATTAACCGTCGTCCTGAAGGCGCCCATGATTATCTGAGTTCTATTATAGACTACAGAACAAGGAACAGTGTACCTTCGGTGTGTGATGCAGTATCACACGGATGCCTTTCCTCTCTTTCAAAGCTTGGCCTAACGTCTATAAACATCACACGAAAGGCTTTCCTCTCTTTCAAAGCTTGGCCTACCGTCTATAACACAAGCGGTATCAATTTCTGTTGAAACGTGAATGCGTGAACATGACACGAAAGGCGTTCCTCTCTTTCAAATCTTGGCCTACTGCATATCATACAAGAAACGTTATATCCATCCTCTTATACTAACGTTCAGCAGGTAACGTTGTAGGTCGAACATATGCATTTTCGACTGTAGTAGCAACGGAATTTAGAAATAAAGCACGGTACCTCACCTTCCTTGCACGGAGAGCAGGTGGTCACCGAACATCCGCTTTAGTTCTCCGTCTTCGACATTCATCGACGCGAAGTTGGAACGGCAATTGTACGCCCTGGATTCTTTGCGGAATTTTTGTGCGGATGGATGAATGGATGTGAAGAGGTCTTGGGGAATGGGTGGCAGGGGTGGCAGTCGCGGAAGAACGTATTTCCCATTTTTGCAGCATATCCCTTTAGACTCCTACGCGAATAGCATGGCTCTACAATGTACGCAAGGGTTAGCGCCTTCCACCGATATTCCCATTTCGTCGTACGCATGAAGGAGTGCTTCACGTCGCTGGGTGATGACAGTGTTCAGACCCGACATGTCCCCTTGCGTAAGCATGATGTTATGGATCATCGATTCCGTTCCGGGACGACGTTGCGACATCAAAATGTTGTCCAGACGATCCCTCTTCGCCGCAATAATGTCAGATCTTCGTTTTTTCTGATGGGTTCGACGACGTTTCCTGTTGGAGGATGGTTTGGGCTGGGTGGCGCTCAGTCGTGTCTCCGTGTTCGTCGCAGCATTATTGTTCGCTTGTCGTGCGCTTCGCCTCCTCGCATTTAAGGCCAACTTGTTCCAAGCACGATATGCACGATTTTCCTCGTTCTTGCACAATCGCTGTCGTTCATTGCTTGTCCTTTTTCGTTGGATGTCCATCCGAACAGTAGTAGGATCACGAGACACACCTCGAAGATGTCGAAGTGGACTGTTGATGTCATTGACAATGGTGGTGGCAGACGTGTATACAACTCTAGTTTGCATGTGGTGCAGCAGTTGATAAGAAGACTACAATAGTCGGGCCGACTTGGAACGTTACTCATTCGCGAAGGCGGTCTGCATGTCATGCTTGATAATTGATTCAACGACGACACGCCTGTGATGCTGTTGCGGGTGACCCGCACGTCCTTGGGAGTTCAATTGCACGTCTGCTACACATTGTCAAAAGGCTGCAGCAAGTTATGCTGTAGCGTGAACTGTGTGCGTGACACAGCAAGCTAAGACGCTGAGTTGGTTGTTGTACAGCAACCTACAGCAGTCCCTAGGTGCCTGTTGCTTCGGACAGCAGCAGGCCACATACATGCTTCGTTGCTGTGCACGTCGGACAGTCACCATCACTTGCAACGACAACCATATAATGGGTCGAAATGCTCGTCTGCTTCACAGCATCGAAACGTCAATACTGTAACGTGGACCGTGTGCGTAACACGGCAAGTTAGAAGCTGTGTTGTTTTCGTGGTCGTGAATCACAGCAGTAGTGTCCTTGGGTGCAAGTTCCTCGGGACAGCAGCAGCAACAGCAGGGCACATACGGTCGCCCCGGTGGTCTAGTGGGTAGCCTCGCAGCCTGCTACGGGCCAGGTCATGGGTTCGAGTCCCGACAGAGAGAGTTTGTTCTCGCTAATTAAATCCTGGTCTCCGTTGAAAGCGACGCGCTGCAAAGCTCGTTGTTAGTAAACTTGATCGACTTCATAAGTCGCGAGGGAAGGGATTGCCGTACCCTTCTCGCGATAAAAATATCTCAGGCAGGAATCGCAGGAGGGGGTCCAACCCCCCCCTCCTATGTTACCCCGGTTGGGTCGTCTAGCTGGTAGAAGTGGAGGATAGGGGCCAGAGGGGCAGACGACAGGGTCCAATGATGGGAGACAAAAAAAAAAAAATGCTTGGTTGCTGTGCACGACGGAGAGTCGCCATATCACCCGCAAATATGAACAAATGAGGGTTCGCAATGCTCGTCTGCTTCACAGCAGAGGGAATCTTAGGGGGCCATATAAGGCAGAATATATGGGGTGTCGCCTTTACCGGTGGGGTGGTGTACTTCTAAAGTTGATGGCCGTTGTGATTGTTGAGCATATCACACGCTAGCGCACACATTTCCTTCGCGAACTTAGGCCATGACTTGCAATGACATGCCGATGGGAGGTCGGAAGACTGCTGTACATCAGTGGGGTGCTGTGCTTTTCGTATGCCAACCGTATTACATTGGTGTTAACCCAGAAACTTCATTTTGTAGTCTACACGGATAGAGCAGCTTCAAAATCACTTAAGAAATGTGTGGAACAAATTCTTCGCTATTTTGCACTATAGTATTTATTATAGTGCGTCCTGCCATGACATTTCTACAAATAATATACTTACCTCTATCTACAGCATCTCGACGACGCTTTCAGTTGGTTGCATGTGTTGGTTCTCTTTGTTGCTGCTATGGTACGTGGTGGTGGTGGTGGTGGTGTTGCTATGTACAGGCGGTACTTTTCAGTTCATTCCTCCAGTACACACACAAATAGCGCTGACAACCAGGTTGTATAATTAGGCTGTTTACGCAGGGAAAAACAGCAAATTGCTACTGAAGTAAACGAGTGTGAAGCGACTTATTGTCCTTCTTCGGTGTGGGCATGGGCACGGGTGTGCCGTTTCTCCAAAGTTCAGTCAAGCAAATGGTGGGGAACCTATGCGGGGCGGATTAAAGACTGAACTGGACATGCCGCAGCAGCTCACATGCACACACATGTAGGTGCCGCACAGACACAGAGCTGCCCCTCTTGTTTAAGTTTCTTCGGAAGATCATGTCCTGCAGCGTAGTTGTCTTCCTACCTGCTCCATGGTTGGTCGCATGTTTGATGCTGCCTATGATACTGACTGCTGTACTACCGGAACCTACCTCAAATCAATCACTCGGTGCGGTCGGGTTGCTTCCAAGCTCTCGTGTATGGCTAGCTCTTGTCGGCTGCACTGCTGCTTGTCACTGCACTCGGCCAATTTTAGAATCAGATCACCGGATCATCGGTGTGATAGGAGGCTGGCACCCCGCAGTCGATATGATAAATCTGTTGTGCCCCCGAAACCGCTATTTGCTATTTGGTGTTTTAAAATTTTGAAATGGAAACATCATGCGACGAGACGACCGGCGCGGCAACCTCCGCTCTTTAACCTGCTGGGGCAGGACAGCACAACCACACTGCGTTCGAGGCCACCACGTTTGGAACGAAAATGTCTTCGGGTGGAGGCGCTGTGGAACTTATCCCGGTAAGTTGGAACATAACAAAAGCTGAATGCTGTTCGTCAGTGTGCTCGAAACAAGATGAGATGTACGGCCCGTCGAACTCCTCGCGGGTGCCATTACGCCTGCAACGCAAACAACTTGCACCTGCCGAGTCTGCTCTGCATTACAGCAGGCTGGCAGCGCCTTTCACAAGCCACGTTACCCCATGCCACGGCCACGGCGCGCCACTCATGTACACAAGGAGGAGTTGTCGGTTAATTTGCTGGTTTCCCACGAGCTCAGTTGTTGCTTCCTTCGCGGCGTGCAAGTACCCAACAGCCAAATAGGTGATGGCCTAGTCTAGGCTCAAGTTGACGCACAAGGTTTTCGATGGGGCACCACAACCGCGAGATTATTCACGTTTTATCACGAGAGAAGTTTGCCACAGCTGTCTAACAATTTTTCCCCTATGCGCCATACATGGCACTACATGTGCTGTGCACATGACGACATGTATGTACTCTGTGTGGTTGTACAATACACCGGAGCTGCTGCTGCACACTTTGGTCTGTTTGTTTGTCGTTGTTAGCGGGAGAAGCGTTCATTAGAAAACATCAAATAGAGACAGACCCCAGGGGGCACTGTTCCCCGTCGATACAAATCACATAGTCATATATACCAGTATGTATATTTCTTTTTTTTTGTTTATATGCATATGGCCTGGTCTCTGGGAAGTCCAGACGATATGGTATTATCCGGCGTAGTGGAGTGTGGGTGAGAGGATCGGGTCTAACCTTCACGCTTTGTTTGAAAATGTGCTCGTAAACTCCAACTCCTTGGCATGTAGGTTCTGTTTGTGACTCAGCTTCCGAGTTAGAGCTAGTGGTACCAATGCAAACAACTTCGTTCGTAATTTTCGTAGTTTCCCCGCCCTATTTACCCTACCCTCGTAACCTATCATCGTTTGCACATTTGCACACTGGCGAGGTGCCTTTACTCCGCCTCTTCCTTGTAGTGGAACGCACTTGTGAGTATTCTTGGGAGAAGCAAGACTGAACCCCTCTGGTGTGAAAGCCTTCGGGCTTTGCCCTGAGTGGTTTCATTGGGTGATTTCGGATCGGAGCTCTCCAGGAAGTGGTTGTGATGAGCGACGGTTCCTTAATTATCGGGATTTGAAGGCGAAGCAGAATTCTAATGTCCGTATTTTGGCATGTTTCCATCATCCCAGTGTGAACTTAGTTTATGCACACCCTACAACCGTTCCTCACGAACTTGAGAGCATCAATCCAGCATTACGCAGAATAAGTCCTCTGCGTCCTCGGCTTCAAGTCTTCTACATATTTTCTGCATGCGACTTCAATTCTTCGTGAGTGATTGGTAGGACTCCCTCTGGGTCTTGTTTGAGTTCTTTTCTACATCCGGAATACCATGTTTGGGGGTTAGATTGTGCGACAGGAAGTTAGTGTTTGCTGGGAAGAGGTAAGAAGAGGAATGACCAAATACGTGCAGGTTCAAGGGACATTCCAACAACATCATGTCCACAAGCATTTACCGAGGTATACAAAAGTTAGCGTCAAGCGCGATCTCTCCACGAGGAGCAGTTGATTGCCCACTCGACAGCAATCAATCCCGCTTCGGGGCACTGGACGGCCTTCCTTTTCTGGAATTCTCTGTCTCTCGCTAACAGGAGAAGCTGTACTACGTGATGCTGAGATCAACCCCACCCGACAGCTCGAAGGAGACGGCGCACTTTTGGTCGGTGGGTCTCGATATGCCGAACGTGTGGTCACTACACTAGAAGAATCATAACAACTCGTTATCGTGGTACATCGACAGGAGGTGATCCATGGCATATTTTTGCGGGAGACGGCCCCAGAAAATGACCTCTGCGGAATTTCGAGCTCAAGTAAATGTTTAATCTTCCATTTCTACTGTAGCATTAGTATTGGGTTTGCTTTTCGTAGCTGCCACCGGAATCCTGTTCAACCACGACGTAGCTTCGTGTCCAGAGAACAACATTTGTGTAGCTTGTCGCCAACCCAAATCTATTTGCTTCACTGCCGCAGGCCAGTTGTCGAGGAAAGATTACCACTGCCAAACCTGGTGCTAGGAGCACATTCGGAACATATGCGGAGATAATCCTCCTACCTTTACGCCGCCTACCATTCCGGAGCACCCTTGCACCCTTGCACTCTGGCCCAATAATTCGATTGGATCGTCTTCACGCCAAGTTGATATATGCTTGTTTCGCAAACAGGCTGACGAGTTTTCATACTGGAATTTTTTCCTAGACTGGGGGCCACTCTCCTTGGGTAACCTCTTCCGATTCTGCCGGACGCTGAACTTCAAGCTCGCGAACGAGAGGCGGCTGGGCAAGGTAATCAACGTCCACCGGGCGTTACAGAGTGTGTTGTCAAAACACCAGCTACAATAGCTGGGGAAACGTTTGCCGTGTCTTCGTTGCTGTTGCCAAGGTGTTCCTTTCGATACCGAAAGTCTATCAAAGAAGCACGCTGGAAAGGAGAACCTGACCAAACTGGATTTGACCAGATAGGTGCTTGTGCCTCATCGCAGTCCATTCCATCGATGGCTAAGTGTCCGGACTCGATGCGTCTTCGCCTTGATCTCACCGCTCCCTCCCCATCGTTTTTCGAAATCGTTACCCGTCCGCTACTGCAATATCCTGTAGGCAGTGTACGTGTACTCCGGAACCCACGCCCACAAGCGGACTAATGCAGCTTTCCTCCTGACCGCGTGGCTCCTGTTGTATGGTGGCAGAACTCCAGAACAGGTGGTGGTTACAACCTAGGCTCTTGTTGGGTGTTGGTGGTTGGAGATGATGATCCTGAATAGACACGGATGCCTCGGTTGTTTATTTCGCGCGCCTGATATGACACCGGTATTGTTATGTAGGTCGAAAAATTTCTCCACCATGCAGCCGAAGTTCAGTTTTGTACGAAATGCATGCCGTTTGATTCATCACGAACGCTACGATGGTATTTGCATGGAGTAACACGCGTTTGAGGACATACACATGGCAGACGTGTTGCGGAAACTGCAGGGTGCCCTCGAAAACGACAAATCACCCAATGTATCGGATTCGAAGCAACCGTCTCACGGACTTTCTCCGTGCAATTAACCCTCCCACGCTCAGATTTGTACCCAACCGCATGTTCTTTGCATCACCAGGCCGGGTTCATCTGCCCCCTGCGCTTTTTAACCCAGAATCCCCCATTCCTTCGTGCCATAACTGTGGTTTCTGTATTTTCCTAAAGGCGTTCGCACCTTTTCAGGACGTGTTTCCACCGTTCCCGCCGTTCCACGACGCGTCGCCATGCGTCTGCACGTTCGACCTCTTCATCCCACACTGCCTCAAAGGTCTCCACAAGGCTCGTCACTTCAGTTTCTTCAACTTCGACACCTTTGACGTCGAAGAATACGAGCACTACGAGCAGGTCTGTCCGTGCGAGTTGCCTTGCGCCTTCGAGCTTTGTCGATGTAGAAGGCTCCTGTGGTAGATAGTGGGTGCCTGCCGTACGGCGGCGCCGTGTTCTTTCGCTCCTGATTGGTGGAATAGTGCATCGTCGTCAGACCCTCGGTTGCGAGCAACTGCTGCTGTGGTTTCAACACGTTTTTTTTCCCGAACAGTGGTCTGTCATCATAGGTATACATGGCGCGTACTTCGGTGTCCAGCGTACAGTAGTACCGGTTCTCTAGTGGGTACAGCATCTCAGAAGCCACGACTCATAATATGCTACACAAGGGAACAGCATGAAGTGCATGCGCAAGCTGCGCATCGAATGCGCGCGATAGGCGTCCTGTTACCTGTGGCAGAAATAGAGGCTTGGCGACAATCATCGCCGATGCCCCTGCCGTTGCGTCTTCGCCCGAGCACCAACCAGGTCGAGAACGGCGACTTGAACTGGCTCGTCGATGGAAAGTTTTTGGCATTCGCAGGGCCTCACAGTCGCTCTGAAATGACGAGAGAAGGCTACCGGACGCTAACCCCACGGGACTACATCCCCTACTTCAAGAAGCACAATGTCACGCTCGTGGTGAGTGAGAGCGCGATTCGAGGTTTCCCCCCTCCCGCCCCCCCCGGTGTTTGCCATCGGGGTTGGGTTTTCGTCGCTTGGCAACGACGTTGTAAAACATGTCCCCCCATCGGTGTTTGCCGTCGGGATTGGGTTTTCGTCTCTTGGCAAAGACGTTGTAAAACAAGCCAATTCACTTCGTGAACTCGGCAACCAGGTTACCGTTTTTTTT